CCATCACTGGGGGGGAGGGGCTTCCATATTGGGAGGCTGGAAACCATCACTGGGGGGGAGGGGCTTCCATATTGGGAGGCTGGAAACCATCACTGGGGGGGAGGGGCTTCCATATTGGGAGGCTGGAAACCATCACTGGGGGGGAGGGGCTTCCATATTGGGAGGCTGGAAACCATCACTGGGGGGGAGGGGCTTCCATATTGGGAGGCTGGAAACCATCACTGGGGGGGAGGGGCTTCCATATTGGGAGGCTGGAAACCATCACTGGGGGGGAGGGGCTTCCATATTGGGAGGCTGGAAACCATCACTGGGGGGGAGGGGCTTCCATATTGGGAGGCTGGAAACCATCACTGGGGGGGAGGGGCTTCCATATTGGGAGGCTGGAAACCATCACTGGGGGGGAGGGGCTTCCATATTGGGAGGCTGGAAACCATCACTGGGGGGGAGGGGCTTCCATATTGGGAGGCTGGAAACCATCACTGGGGGGGAGGGGCTTCCATATTGGGAGGCTGGAAACCATCACTGGGGGGGAGGGGCTTCCATATTGGGAGGCTGGAAACCATCACTGGGGGGGAGGGGCTTCCATATTGGGAGGCTGGAAACCATCACTGGGGGGGAGGGGCTTCCATATTGGGAGGCTGGAAACCATCACTGGGGGGGAGGGGCTTCCATATTGGGAGGCTGGAAACCATCACTGGGGGGGAGGGGCTTCCATATTGGGAGGCTGGAAACCATCACTGGGGGGGAGGGGCTTCCATATTGGGAGGCTGGAAACCATCACTGGGGGGGAGGGGCTTCCATATTGGGAGGCTGGAAACCATCACTGGGGGGGAGGGGCTTCCATATTGGGAGGCTGGAAACCATCACTGGGGGGGAGGGGCTTCCATATTGGGAGGCTGGAAACCATCACTGGGGGGGAGGGGCTTCCATATTGGGAGGCTGGAAACCATCACTGGGGGGGAGGGGCTTCCATATTGGGGGAGTGGGTGGAAGCCTCTTATGGGACAATGGGGGTGTCATATTTCGGGGGGGGTTGTTTGTCATGTGATCGGTCCCTGTGTTCCAGGACGAGGGATCTTTTCATCTTAAAGACACGGCGAGGAACCTGCTGAAGAGTTTGGGGAGTCAGGTGGCGGCAACGTTGGGCTGGAGGGACATGTGGACGTTCGTGGTGAAGAAAGGAGGTAAATTGTTCGTCCCCCAATCCGGTCATACGTGTCCTGTGTGGTCCCGGGTCCGGTCATATGTGTCCTGTGTGGTCCCGGGTCCGGTCATACGTGTCCTGTCATACGTGTCCCGTGTGGTCACGGGTCCTGTCATACGTGTCCCGTGTGGTCACGGGTCCTGTCATACGTGTCCCGTGTGGTCACGGGTCCGGTCATACGGTCCTCAGTGTCCTCTTTATTCGTTCAGGACAAATCTACGGAGAGAAATACTCCAAGTCGCCGGCATTGTCCACCTGGGGGGATCCCGTGCTGCTGAAGACCGACATTCAACTCGTTCCTCCGGAGGGTGAGCTACTCCACCGTCATGTGACACGTCTGTGTACTCCACCGTCATGTGACACGTCTGTGTACTCCACCGTCATGTGACACGTCTGTGTACTCCACCGTCATGTGACACGTCTGTGTACTCCACCGTCATGTGGCGTGTCTGCGGACTCCTCCTGTAACGAGCTCTGGTCATGTGACGTGTCTGCGGACTCCTCCTGTAACGAGCTCTGGTCATGTGACGTGTCTGCGGACTCCTCCTGTAACGAGCTCTGGTCATGTGACCTGTCTCTGGACTCCGCCTCTAACGAGCTCTGGTCATGTGACCTGTTCTCTCTCCAGATGCGGAATGTAATTGGCCGGACACGGAACTGAACAGGAGGAGGAAGCGGTTCTGCAGCAAGGTGGAGGGGTACGGCAGTGTGTGCAGCTGTAAGGACCCCACGCCTATCGAATTCAACCCCATTCCTGTGAGTATTGCTGGGGGGCGGGGCTTCTCATC